GTAGGGAAGCCTTGTCTGTGGAAGACCGCAGAAGCCGCCGGAGCCGCTTGGGGAAACGCACGTCCCGCCCCGGGCCCCCGCCGCGGCGTGCGGAGTTAACTTTTAAGAAGGCGCAGGCTCTCCCAGCCTCCCTAAAGGAGGGAGGAAAGAAAGAGTTGTCCCTTCTCTCGCGGATTTGGATCTGCTCGGTGTTGTGGCGCCTGCTTCGTGGCTTTTCGGGAATGCTCTGGAGGCCAAGGCACCTCCAGGCCTCGGCTCCTGCAGTCGTGCATGAGTGGGCCGAAAACCCCATACTGTGGGTGGGAATACTTAACTTCGTAACTGCTTATGAACTTGAAAGTAGTAGGTGGGTAGGCAGGCGTTCATACAACTGGATCTTTGAGTTGGATAAACAAGATTGGGCCAGTGAAATGTGGGCCACTGAAAAACGAAGGTAAAATAGTTCAAAGTCATAAAATGCTGACTTTTCATATGGAGAGGTATTGAGAGTAACTGTACTTTGAACTAAAATAATTAGCATGCAGTTCCTCATTTTTAAATTGGTGCGCTATAAAATCAGTTCTTATAAATACAGCTCGTTAACTTTTCAGAATGCCCGTATGATCTTTGTCCCCACCTAATCATGGTTTGGTATCTAAATTGGGCCTCTTGCTTCCATGGAGTTTTAGCTCCTGCTGTTAAACCCTTTATTTTGTAGTCAGGCTATTTTGTGCACAGGCTTTTTTTTCTGTACAGATCAGTATGCAAGGTAAGGACCTACAAAATTTTTTACTCATTAATATTTCTTATGTCAAGAAGGGTAGTTAGGCGATAAGCACTTATATTCTTATGAAGTAGGTTTTGAGTCAGTGTGCAGATAATGCAAAAGTCACTGAAGTGAATGAAAAGGAAGATAAATGGTACATTTTAGGGAGATACTAATGCCTCAGATGTGTCCAGTATTGTCATGCTGAGTTTTGTCGAAGTTATTCAGAAAATGCCAAGTTGTATGGCTTTTAGTAAAAAACTTGTCATTATCAGGACACAGCTACTACAGCATCAATAACCTGGAAATGTGTTTCACAGAAACAAATAGAAATGGACATCATATGTTCTCCTTGTGTTTTTAATTGAACAAAACAGTAATTTTAAATGTTACTCAACTTTGGCTTCTGTGTTCCATAAGATATCTTACAGTGATTTCTGTTTGGTGATTTGTAGGCAAGAACTCTGAATTTGTCTTTTTGTGTCATTTAGCAATAGCATTCCAGAACTTTTAGTTCAGTTTATCTATCTTCATTTAGTACTAATCTTCGGAAGTTATAACACAGGATTTGAGGCTTCTTATTTTTTTAAAATTGTAATAAGAGGGGGAGCAAGAGGGGAATAGGAATAGAAAAAAACTATACTGGAAATTTCCATTTTGTCTGCTAGCAACTACGTTTCACAAATAAGATTGTCACTGGTTTTGAAACTTTATTTTACGTGCATGTAATGGAATTTAAATGTAGATACTGCAGTGAATACAGCTATTTCTGTATTAGCTGAAAGAAAATACTAGTGCATCCTTTCAGATGTTTAGAGTGCTCTGTGTTTTTAATTTCATAAAATGTGGACTTTTCACATAAAACTTTGAAGTAACTGGGATCTGATGAAAGAGAGACTGTTTTTCTGCAGAAAGCAAGCAACCTGTTGCATGTACAGTGATACTAAAAAGGATGTTCAGCTTTGTTTTTAATAAGTTTTGCCCAGTCCAGTGACTTAAGTCCATTTGAGACCCTTGGAGACTTTAGTTTTAGTATAACTTAGGTTTTTTAAAAAACTCACAACTTCTTATGTGTATTTTTTTCTTTTCTTTTGCAGTGCTCTCAATTTGATATTATACTGAAATTAAGTGTTTAAAAAAAAAAAATTGCCCTTGTTTCGGATTGTTCATAAGTCCTGGGCTTTAAAATACAATTCCTCTGAATAAAGACTTGCAAGTTTGATAAGCTTTTATTGTAGTAGTCTTGCAGGTGGCTTTGTATCTAAGTGGAAAATGACCTGTTTCCTAATTTCAGCATAATAAAATGTTGCTTATAAAATCGGTACTAAAAGATGATATATTTTTCCAGTAGCGATGGAGGACTTCAGTGCTAACAACTTAATGTATTGAAATATAATGCTGAGAAGATAAATGCATTGAATCCCCATGGTTCTCCAGAAGATTTTTGTCTAGTGTTTTCTACAAACGGTTTGTGAGATTATCATTGGTGTATCTACTAGCATTTTGGGACCATAGTTTTCATTATGATGTTATTTAGCTTTGTTTCCCATCTCTCCTCAGACTTCAAATCTTTTGCATAGTTTCACTAAATTTGTTATTTTGTAATCTTTTTGTAATTTTTTTTTAAGCTCCTTATGCTTTCTCCCAAAGTGCCTTTCTGTCTTTTGACCCAGCAGCCTAAGTTTACAGTTGTTAATTTTTTACCTCCTTTCTCTTCTACTCAACTTTCTGGGTTGTCAATTATGAAAATTTTTAATTTTATCAGAAAGGAATTTTGGACAGTGTGTTCCTTGCTTACAGGGTTCTGTTAACAAATTCATTATTAAAATTGCCTTGCAAGTTAATCATAGAACATCTGGGTGTTACTTGGAAAACCGTGACTTTTCAGAATTTCAAGAGAAGTAATACTTACATTTTGTAATCATTGTAAATATAAGGGAGGAAATCAACAATTCATTATTATCACAGCTGCTCTTTAATTTGCGCGTGGCCCAGTGCTGTGTTTGTATTCACCGAGGGCTGGGAAATAACACCACGGTCATTCAGCATGATGTAAGCAGTAGTGTGTGGTAATTTTAAGAAAGGAAGTTATCCAGGGAAATGCATTTGTGGTTCCCTAGAAAATAAAAATAGGGTTCAGGAAAAGAACTTGAGGAAGAGCTTTCAGATGTGCCATTGAAAAAAAAACAGCTTGGACATAGTTAACATTCGGTCTCTAGCAAACAAGTACTTATGTGACCCTTGCTGGACCAGTATGTAGTTAACCTCTAATGTTGCACAGCCAGTTGCAGTGATAGCAGAGGTCAGTTTCTCTGATAGCAACATCTCCTATACCTTGTTTAAGTATCAGGCAGTAAACAGAGATGAAGTGTCTTGTCAGATACTCTGTAGTTTCATAAAAATGTTGATTTTCATAAAAACATAATAGAAAAGAATATAGAAGACAAAAATAACTGCCTGCAGCATTTTATCTTGGTCACTGTATTGAGGATTTATAAAGAAGAGGACCTACATCTTTACACATTGACATTCAGTCAGTTTCTTTAAGGCATACAGTTGTATTCAGACACTTAGAAACATCAGTTTGGTGCTTACTGTTGCTCGCTATTTGTTTAAATATTAATCTCCTAAAAACTCTTAAAAGTATTCAAAGTACAAATGTTAGGCATACAGTCTTGGCATTGGAAACCTCTTTCGATAATGGAAGCAATTTCTCTCTTCTGTGTACGTTTGCAAATTACTTCAACTATTATATTTTGCATGTGTTATACTTGGTTTGTTCTCTTTCTGCTGATGGAAATAGACCTCAAAAATAGTCACAGAAAACAAGGAGAAACCAATTGTTGGTTAGTTAGAGTAAGTACAGAGTCAATTTGCACTACTAGCAGATGCATCTTTAATACATGTGACATTTTCACTCCTTTTCAGGTCCTGTGCAGAATCGGATGCAGTTCCCTTCTGGCTATGGCTCGAATCCTCCTACCTATGGTGCACCCTCAGGACACTATTCCCAAGTGCCCAGTAAAGCTGCTGCTTCACATTTGGATAATCAGTATAGAGCCAGTTACTACCCTACTTACTATTCAGCACCAGCACAAAATGTTATGACACCTGTGGGTACCAATGTGTTGAATACACAGGAAGCACAGCAGTTGTACAACAAAACTCCTCCCCACACTGTGGGGTCAGCTGAAGGACCTATTCCAGGAGCAATATCATCTGCATCCTACTTGCATACGAGTGCTCAGCAGTCATATTCATACTCGGCATTTGGTAATCACTACAGCCCGTCTGTCAGCTCTCCAGTTGCATCTCAGGGATTTCCTCTTAATTCTGATCACTACACCATGCCTGTGGTTTCTAGTGCCATGTATCCTAATGTTTCCTATCCTGCGGCTGCTGGCGGTGTGTATGGGCAGGCATTTACCTCTCAGAGCCTACCTGCTGTTGGACAGTTCAAAGAGACAAATACATATACTAGCCAGACTACATCAGTACCTCATTCACTTCAACAGCATGTTCCCGTGGGATATAATTCAGCATTATCAACTATTTCATCTACTCAGTCTGTTCAAGACAACCTCGGCAGGAATCTCACTGGATCGATTGCTAAAGTAAACAACCAAATAAATACAGGTATGGTATTATTTGAAGATTAGTGAACTTCCAGATGTGTCTGGGAAACATCAGAAATCACATGCTTTTGTTGGCTTGTACTTGTTGACTGGGTGAAATTCTGTATCGTAATTTTGAATTCTGTTCTTACTCATTTGTGAAGCTTTTCTCACTTGGTTACCACAGTGCTCACAATAGCAGCTAATTGTATCACTGACGTGTTTCTATTAAGAGATACTGAAAAAGACACTATCTGGGGAATGGTTTTAGTTTATTGTTTGTTTTTTTTTTTCATTTAAGTGGCCTTGGAAGGGAATTTTTTCATGCCATTTTGAAGGAGTGTGTAATTTCTGAAATATGTCTATTAATCACAAAGGTACTTTTTTTTCCTCTTCTAGCTGGAGAATTTTTTGAAGTCATGATCTATATTGATTCCTTACATTTTACCTAACCGAACATGCATGCACTCTTTTCTTCAGAAAATTCAGAAAAAGTAGAAGCCTACATGGGTTTGAAGACAATTGGTTTTTTTTTTAATTAGGTTTTTTTTATAAGCATTTGAATGAGAGTGCAATTTTGGTGGTTTTAGCTGATTTTTGTAAGCAGCAACTTGATGTTTTTAGTATGGCTGTAGCTATAGAGAATGAAGTTGCAAAGGTGGCAGTTGAGGGTGAGTATACTTAGTCCTTGCTAGCAGTCTGCTTCATGGGAAAACTGAGTGCAAGTTCATAGGGTAGGTAGTACTTGGTAGAAAGAGTGGAAGAGATTAGAGGTGTGGGAGTGCCTCCACATTGAAACATTGTGCTCTCCGAGAGCTCAGTAGCATGTGCAGGAAAATTCTGGTTTTCTTTCTGTACTGGTAATTTTCTGACTTCATGCGGTTTTGACTTGTAAGCTGTGCAAGACTAATGGTTTTCTTTTTCTGATGAGACAGATATTAGAGACCTGTAGAATGTTTCCTTTTTTATGCCAGATATTTCAGATTATAGCTTAACATTGGAATTGTTTTAGGAATCCATGTAGTGGACGTTTTCGAAGACCAAGGACTTATGAAAGAACATGATTTTGATGATGGTAAAGCTTTGCCTGGGAAAAACAGCTAAGCTTAAATCAAGCTCATCCAATCCATACTAAGGTTAAATTTAGTTTCAATATTGCTTCTTTTCCCCAAGACTAGGATGTAGAGTGTCATCCTTCAGCTCAGTTTTACTAGTGTGAATATTAGTAGAGTTGAATTCTGTCTCTATGAGGTGCTCTGTGCGATTTTCTGTAATATTTCAAAAACATGAAACAAAATACTGTTTAAAAAAGAAACATAGGGAGCTCCTTAAAAAGCTTCTGAAGTTAATGGCGTTTCAAGATTGAGCATAAAAATGAATTCTTTCAAGGACTAAAGTTTCAAAGTTCTGGCCAAAAAAATTCTGTTGAGCGCAGAATCTACAGCTGGTCTTGGCAGAATGCAGGTATCATTCCAGAATAGTAAGATTTGCCGTAGTCCTATGAAAGTGACTGATTGTTTGTTTAAACTGTTAGTGTTTTATTTACCAAAATTTTTAATTTAAATGCCTGTTAATTTTATTTCCTTTGAGGATGTCTTGAAATATATTATTTGTTCATAACTATTTTTTTTTTTATAAGGAGCATCTGTTTTAAAGGTGAAACAGTGGAGCTGACCAGACTGTGAAGGGCAGTTTGAGCAATGGATAGTCTTATTTCTGAACCATTCAGTGCTCTTCTTAAAGGAATGATTGAGTTAATACATGGCCTCAAGAAAAAGTTATGCTGGCATTTCAAAGAGCTGATGATAGAATTGACTGCTGTACTGGTGTGTAATAGGTACACACACTTTAGTTATGAAAATAAAAACATCCACTGTTTCTGCTACACTCGAGTAATACTGCAGTACTTGGTTTGTTTGCTGGACTGTAGGCATAATTACTTAAACCACATTCAGACTCTTTCCAAGCTTGTAGAGCTGCTGATATCAGCATGCCCTGTGCTTCCTTGCATAGTGGGCTGGGTTGTGGAACTAATTTACCTGGAGAATAAATTTTTCTTTTCCCTCTAAATTCTGGTTCAACCTCATCATACAAATGATTCTGTATTTGCTGACTGGGAAAGACCAAATAAAGGTAGCAGTCAGTAGCTAGGCTGAAGGAAGAGCTGGGCTGTTTTACTACTAAATTCTAAAGACTTACACCATTTTTGAAGCCTGGGCCTAAGCAGTCTGCCTCCAATAATAGTCTAGCATTCAACATCTTTGAATTTTTAATACATTTTAGCCAATTGCTACAACACTTTGCTGATAAAAGATGGCAAATAATTGTTTGGTCTTGGCATAATTGATTTACTTTTTGGGACACTGATATGCTTTCTAAATACAGTCTTATTCTCAGATGGAGTCATTTTATGTATAGTATTCTAATGGTTTTTAGCGTTTAAAAAAGGAGTTGGATCTTGAAAATTATTTGCCATTTCTTGTACATCCTTGGAAAGTGTCTGAGTACAACGTACAAGGAATTTAAGGAAATGATGAATGATTCACAAGAAGGAATTTTTCTGAATATTTTATCTTCCCTGCTATTCTCCAGGAAGGAAACAATAATGGAAAACAGTTACAGTCTGTTCTGTGCATAGTTTTTAGGAAAATTGCTTGAAAAAAAACTTAAGATACACTGAAACTCCAAAGTGTGCTTTCTGTGACTGTTCATGTAAAGATATTTTGATACAGTATTCTACTGTTAGTCAGGGCGCCAATAAGACAGTTTGCTGTCATTGCTGCTGTGCTGTGAAAGAAGACCCCTCACAATTCTTAAATTATAAATAAGCAGATCTTAGAAAGACTGTCATTCAGGATACTACTGTCTTAATGTGTTTTTCAATAGCAGTTTTGTGCAGTCGGTGAATACTGAGAGCTCTCTGTGATGAAAGTGAAACATGGTTTATATAAAGAATGCCATGTTTTTAATAAAATCTCTGTGTTTAAACAGGACTTAGGAAAATTAGGCTGGCATAAGCTTTTTAGAAGTGTGGTGATTTCTGAATTGTTTTCTATTTGAATCAGAAAAGTTTGAAGCGTTGGACTTACAATTGTATTTAAATCAATTTGTCTAGGGCCTTGGAAAGCCCCGAAAATACTGACTCTCTTAAGATTAAACTGTTTGAGCTGCTGTATATCATGTACTGAGGACACAGAACTGCAACAAAATCTTTTTCTAAAACTTTGGCAGGCACGCTCTGAAGTCACTGAAGTATTTTCAGTGAAGCTTGCTGAAATTTCACTAGAAGAAAAGAAGAAATTTATTTTGAGAGGCATTTTTTGATGGAAGTTGAGCTGTTTTGATGAATAGCAGCCAGTGAGAATAATTTTCTTTGTGTTAGGAAGTATAAATAAAGTAGAATACAAATATTTAATTTGAGGTTTTTCTGCTTGCTGATTTAAACTAGTTTCACCTAGCAAAAATGCCCTCTTCTAGTTTTAAATTCTGTATTTCAGCAGAACAGTGTTGATACAAATCTGTCCAGAAATGGTGTTATGCTATGTAAATAACACACTCTGTATTATTTAAGTTTTTTGTCTTTTCTATCTTTCCTTAATATTTTTCCAGCTTATTTCAGCTGAAATCAGTGCACTCTGATTTTTCTTGGTTCTTTCCAGTCAGTGTGGGTTTCAACCAGGATGCCCAAATTTTACTGGACTCCTCCCTGCCTCCCTGAGGAGAGGGAGGTAAAGAACTCCTGCGGGTAAATGGTATGGGTTTCTTTGCTTCCTGGATCTTGCCTTCTGTCCTGTAATCATAGGCAGTCTGCTTGAGTGGGAGACACTTTAATTTCTTTATCTCATGCACATACTTCCTCTTATATCATATCAGGATCTAAAGTCCTTGCTGCCCCAGTTCCATAGGAATGTGGGCTATAATCCTGTAAATCTGCTCATATAGGTGTGGTTGGAAAAAGGGGAAGGACTGCAGCCAAGATACAAAAAGTTGGGGAGATAGGATGCTGTTGAAAACCAAGGTGCGGAAGGTGGGAAATGTCTCTGTAGAAATTGCGTGTTGCGGGGAGGGGGCTGGGGGGCAGGAACTCAAGATCACAGCTGTAGCAACTCAAACGGGATGGTTCTTGCATCTCTTCTGCAAACTTGAGAAAATATTGTGGTGATACACTTTTTAACTGCTACCTGTAGGTCTCAAGTTGGAAATTAAATAAAAACTTTTAAGTGCTAGTTTTATAGGAAAAATGATGAGTTACACTGCTAATTTGCCCAGCTCTGCAGATTCTTTCTGTAACATAGATCTTTATTGGTACGTGTCTTTTGTATACTTACTTGGTTATCTTTAGTGGAAGAGATGTTCATGGTTGAAAGGCACAAGGGAAAACTTCAGTGCCCCTTAAAGCTGAGAGGAGTGGGAGGTGAAAAACAGAAAATACTGTGTCACTGAGATTGGGTTTTATATTTACTGCAGCCTGACAAAGCTCTTGGCTTCTCATGACATCAGTTGGTGGAATATTGTATGGCCTGGTTGACCTTTTCCTGGATAACCTAATGGGAAACTGGTACTCTAAACTGGTGTTCAGTCCAGCTTTGTCTTAAGCTAAAATACGCCATCCTAAATTCATCAGTACTTATATAGCAGGGTGCAATCTTCTTACTGGCCACAAGGAAAAAAATTGATAGCATAATTACCATCACAGTAGATTACCTCATGTGATGATATTTACTAACAATGTGTTTTTAAAGATTAACATTGTCCAGGTGTTTCCTTTGGTTTTAATTACTCATGGTTTTTGAAAACTTTCAGAGTCGCCAAATAAAGTTTAACATGCAATTTTGCAGGCTGGATTTTTGTACAAAGAAAAAAATTACATCTTTTTTTTCTCAGAGTTTAAAAACATTTTTTAGAATACATGTAAAGGATCCATGTAATTTTGAAGGATATTTTGGATAACTTTTGTTTGAGAGTAGTTACTGGTACTTGGCAAGAAGGTATTGCATCTTCAGCTAATCCAAGTGTAAATTGGTTTTGGCTTTTGAACATGTGACACGGTGACATTATAGCACGTAGCATGTTCTACAGCAGTGTTTGATGCTGTAAGCATTGCAGCAGTGACTTGAAGTGTGGAAAATACCATAACTCCATAAACAATTCTCTCTGCTACAAAACCTGGGTAAGCACACTAATGTTGCAAAGAACTTCCCTTGTCATCTTGCATTTCTTGCTTGAGAAAGCTGTGTAGCTACCCTGACAAGAACATTTCTGCTGACAGGTGCTGATGCTTCTGTGAGGAGTCTACAAGACATAACGTATAGAAGCAGAAGTTATAGCAAGTACATTTCAATAGAAAATGCTGTGTGTATGTACTTTGGAGAAATACATATTCTAATTTTGATAACACTTGCGAAAAAGCAATATGTATGCTCAACACTATATTTGAAAACTACATAATAAATAAAAGTTCCATTAAGGCGGTGAAAATATATGCTGTTAATTTTGACAGTAAAATAGAAAAACAGAAAGATCATTTTAATCTGCTGCTGCTTCTTCCCTCTATAAAGGAAGCCTCAACTTCCTCATAAAGTCCTTTCAGGTATCAACTCCATTATTTAAGGAAAAGTCAGGGACTGTATGAACTACACCGCTATATGTGCAGCGGAAGCAAAGTTAGTATTACCTGTGTATCCTCTGGTGAATTCTGTAACTTAAGTACTCTACAACTACAGTGAGTTTTGTTCTTGCTTAATTTCTCTCTGTGTTTACTGGGTAGTATTGGTCAAACCATTTTCTTTCTATTCTTATTTTTAAGAGCTTGGCATGTTAGGTTGTTTTGAAAGAATCAGAATATGATTAATTTTTTCAATTATAAATTGACAAAGAGGGACCCACTTAAAAGCTAACTCAATTGAAGTTATATTGTCCTTATCTGATAGGAATTTCAGCTGGACTGTGTTAAATCTCTCAAAGTACTAATCTGACTTTTTTAAGTAGATTATATCTATTCCAGATGTTTAAAACACATCAGAAGTTCTGCGGAGTACTCAGGGTTGATTGAAACAGACTGCTTGGAATATGGGTCTCATAGCTGAGTACCAAAATTGCCAAGTGCCAGCCCTGTGAGAGAGGCAGAATACTGGTCTAGTACACAGCTGACTTTCAGGTTTCCTGCTTGTGGGAGGAATATTGAGAGGGAGCCATTCTACGTAGACTGCATTCCTCTTATCTGGGAAGAGGAACCTCTGAAAGCGTGGAGTTGTGGGGATGGATCAAAAATGGATCAATTTGGCTTTTGGTCTTGATCTTACTACATCATACGTTCCTTTTTGCTGTTAGTTGTCAGAGCAATGTGTTCATTCTAATGCAGTTTTATCATCATAGGTATTTAATTTAAAAAAATCAAGTTTTCCATATATACTTGCTTGAAGGCATCTCTCTCTGAAGTACTGGTATTGTTTTAGTAGTTATTGTGAAATCAAATGTGATTGCTTGCATTGTGTAATTGTCTGCAAATACAAACAAAGTGTTCCTGCTTTCTGCTGTTGTTTTCAGGTGGCATTGATTCTTCACAGCCCGTGCACTCTGTGAGCCAGAGCGTTCCATTTACCAAGCCTGGGGCTGGAACATCTGCTTCCTCTGCTGTGATCTCGTCAGTAAGGACATCTGCTCCAAGCCTTTCTTCACAGCCACGATCTTCACCCACTGTTACACAGTCACCAGTGTCGGCCCTTCAGGAAGGTACTAAAAGGGAATGGGAAGTTACAGTACAGACTTCTGTTCCACATGTGCACGTGAGAGCTGGAAGCTTTATTGCTGCTCTTCTGCATTTATCTGACTGGCGTACATGTCTTGCATCTCATCAGGCTCCCTTAAGTGTTCTTGTTTTGTACCACCCTGGTTCTAGCTTTTCTCAGCTCTCCTGTTTGATTTTCTTTGGCCATACATCATTTTTGGCTTGTTTGTCTTGTTGACAGTCTCACATGTCTTTTCCTCAAAAAGCCCTTCTTTTAGTTTCCTTACTTTTCTGAAAAGCTGCTCACTATTTTGACTTCTCAGAAGGAGATCTTAAAGTAGCTTTTGTAATCTGTCTGTATTAAAAAATCAGATCTAAACTAGCAATTTGCTAGTGCTAGCAGTGGGTAGCAGAATAAGCTTGAGTATTAAATTCAAACTGATAAAATTTATATTCCCTGGCTGTAAGCTCCCATGAAGAGCTGCTCTAGGAGTTATTTTTATAAGCTCCTTCCTGTTCTGATGTTGGTAGCCTCTTGACAAAGAATCGGTTGGGTCTTGAGCCACCTTCAGCCATGCTAATTCTGCCCTGATGTTTTGACTTGTGTCTTAGACTATTACATGTTTCTGTGTCTAGTATTCCAAATCTAATTTACTGTGCTGATTTTTTTTGTCTGTATTTTCTCTTGGTAATTTCAGAATTTTAAATTCTTATGGAAAAAGAACTCGGTGTGTGAGATGGAAGTAAGCATTAATTTTGTCCAGGACAATGTGACATGTCCAGTGTTCAAAATAATTCTCAAAAGCATGGTGTGTGACAGCATGTTTTTTGTTCTTAAATTTCAAAATCCTCTGACATAAATGTCTAAATTTCCCCGTTTCCTTCATTTCCTCCTTTTTCTGGTGGAGTGAAGAATGTAAAGAAATAACTTGTCTGTGAATCAACTCTGTAAATCAGATTACAGGCAAAAAGGTAATTCTTCATTGCTATGAAGTCCTTTATACAGTGTACCATTTTAAAATGATAAATCAATTTTTGGAACAGGAAAAACCTGTTGCTTCATCTTCTGAAGAAATCGCATAACCCTGTTTCTAAGGAGAAAAAGGATTTCAGCTGTTTAACTGTGCTTGCCTTAACATGCAATATATATGTTCTCGCAGTGGTTCCTGTATAACGTGTGAACACTTTGTACATCAAACATAAATCACTGGGGTCACTGCTGAGCTCTACTAAATTCAAATACTTCTATATAAGTGAAGGTTAATGCAAATGTAGCTGAATGAGCACACTTTAAAACCAACAATATACCTATGTCAGGAATATGTAGATAAGTTATCAGGAGTTTGCATTGATCTAGTTGTATTTACATTATAAAATAATCTATAATAAATCCACGTACATGTCATCACACACATGTGTTTCTATGTTTAGATTATATTTTTATGAGCATTAGAAGGCTTCAAACTCTTTTCAGTTAGTTTCATTTGAGGAGTCTGAAATACATAATGTACTCTTGTAATACCTTTTTATCAACAATTAAGTGTGATAACTTTATTTGTAGAAATCAACCTATTGAAAAAATAGAACACATCTACTGAGTATTTGTCTGGGTTAGAATTCCAAGTCTGTTTCTCATGTAGGGTTTAAATGGACTGATTTTTATCTTATTACAGATTAGGGTTGTCTCCATGAAAGCATTCTGAAAAACCAGTTTGAATTAATTTTTAAAGTGTATTTCATTGTTTTAAGCTCCTGTGTGGGCATTTCTATACAGAATTAGAATATTCTAATTGTTTAGTTCTAACAGGACAAAAACCTTAAAATTTATTAAAGCCTATTTAATCTTATATAAATATCCATACACATTTAATGCAGATAATTTACTTAAAAATGGCATCCTAGAGGTGACCTTTGAGAATGTGTGTCATGTCTGGATGTTATTTTTGGGCTTCCTTAGGTTTTGTGTTGGTGAGAGATGCTGATGAGTAAATGAAAATAATGTAAAGCAAAGAGTTTAGGAATGGAGAAGAGGAGGGTTCATTTTGTAAGAACTACTATTTGTAATATTAAGCTTGTAATACCATAGTAAATTTGTTGAAAATGAGGGTTGTGGGTAGAGAGCCAGTTAAGGAACTTCAAGATACAGTTTATTTTTGCATGTGATTATTTAATTTTCATTTTTGGTGGGTCCTCCATTATGAAACTTAACCCAATGTATGCTTTGCATTTAAAAGTATTTCATGGTATGAGTGATTGTTACTTAAAATACCTAAATAGTTGGCTTATTTCATAGACAAATGAGTTCTTATCCCAGTATATCCTTTTGTGTCCTCCCACCTATGTTTCTAAGTGTCTGTAAAATATAGTGGGATAAAGCCTTAGAGTGTGATAATGATATATTACAGGTACACTGTTAGCAGGGTTTAGAAATTTCCAGTCCAAGAATTTGTGACAATTTAAATTTACATGGTTACATTTTAAGCCAGACCTATGAAGTAATCTCACTCAAAATAAATAATTAGTTCAAAATAAGCTTTTGCAGTTTTAAGAGTGGGAGATTTTAACATTATTAGCCACTCTGTAAAAGATGCTAAGCAGAACTGACTTGTCACAACAGAAATCATTCTTGGGCATATGGTGCCACTTGTAACTGCTGTCTTCACTCACCCATTTCTGCCCTTCAGTTGTTTTCTCCCCTGTGCTGGCCTACTGGTGGCATTGCTGGGCAGTAAACTGGAATAGGAGGCTTTTCCATGTGAGAAAGACTCTTTTTTTTTTTTTTTTTTTTTTACGAGGTTATTTTTCAGCTACATCAGTTCTCTCATTGTTTCTGTGGCTCGACAGTTGTGCTAGCATGACACAAGAGTATCCTAAAGGCAGAATTTGTAGTACTGCTGGCAATGAAAATAAAGAAAGAAATCTTTGCAAACTCGTAAGTCTGATAAGAGTCAAACCAGCCCTGCTTCCAGAGGATTCATAGTGACATAGTTCATGATTGCTAAAGTTCTGTGTCACTAGAATATTTTAAAATCTTTTCTTCTCTGTTCTTTCTGAACACGTGTGTCCTTTATGTGGACATAAATCCTTCCAGTATGTGACCAGTGACTGGAAAAGGGGGAGTTTTAGCAGTAGAATGTTTTTTGTTTGTTTTCAAAAACAAACATTCCAAAGAATCCCTGGTAGCATTAGTAGAAAGACTCATTCAGTCTTTTTTCCCTTACCTGCCTATGCTTGGAGTTTTTGCATTGGCATGCTCTTGCCAGGTAGATTTACTTTCTTTCTTCTCCTGTCTGTGTATATGGTATTTGTTAGAGATCTGTCCTTGCACTCTCACACTGTGCCCATCTTCTTTTACTATGTCTGTGTTACACTGCATCATTTCTTGTCATCCTGACTTTTTTTCCCCTGTTAATTATGTTAAGTTGGTCTTTCTCCTTCCCGATAATGCAGTTTTGTCTTGTTCCTTGGTAGCTCTCCCAGGCCTGAGAAAAGACGTGGTCCCCTTGGCTGTAGTCTGGTTTTGTGCAGAAAACTGTTTTCTTGCTGATGTCCTTATCAAGTGTATCCAGTAGCCTTCATGAAAGATGGGACTATGAATCACTTGAGTTAGCCCTGTGTTGTAGCAGTACAGAGAAACTGAAGCATTGTACCTCCTTGGTTACACTTGGGTTGATTTTTGCCTTCACCGTTGTGACTACTTGTATTGTAGAGAAACTTGATCAGAATTAATGCACTGGATAAAGTAAAACAATATCAGTCTCTTCATGCAGTAACCTCTGTATGAAAGTTCAGCTTCTCAAGAATGTTGTGATACGGTTTTGCTCTGTTTTCTTTTTCCTTTCACTGTTTGAATAGATACCCTTCACCTTGATCCTGTTGAGTTTTTTTGAGTGAAATGGAAGCAGTCCTCTTGGGTTCATTTGCTAACCCTTTTAAAAAAGCCATGAAACATAACAGCATTTTTAGCCCCTAGGTTAAAATAAAAGTTAATGTAGTCGATTTAAATTGTGGAATGGAGGAGGTTATTAATTACCATTATGGTTTCAGATTATGGATAGCATACACCACTTCTGTAGTGCTTTATAGTGTTAAAATATAGAGCACTACTCTAATGGTGCCACAGTGCTTCTACAGGGAGAAAAACACCAAACTGTCAAGAGTCTGAAAAATTGTGAAGATTTTTGAAGAATTAGGATATTTTCTTGCTATAGCAATCCATTGGATTTTAAGAGTAACAGTGGTCGCTCGCATTTATTTGGGATGTGTCCCTGACTGCAAGCATATTTAAAAACCCTTGCTAACCATACCCCATGACAAGAGAAACTTAAGATTTCTTAGCAGTGCTGAAACTGCATCAGTAATGAGTAATGTAGGAAATTAATTATAAGCCATTGCTGCATGCTTTACTCTGTTTTAAAATCGTATATATGTGCTGCTTTTGTGTGTTGTTTGCATATGTTGAGAGTAGATACTGTAAAAAAAACAAGCAAAAAAATATTACCAAAAAAGCCACTACCTAAAACCCTTACAGATTACGGTTTAGAGTTGACTGTGGTAACAGTTGTTGAGTTGTCACCAGATCTTAAAAGTGGATAGTGTATTTAGGTACTTAAATATGGGTCTACGAGTCTGAATTTATGCAGTAATTTAAAAATAATACTAACCAAGTTTTCAGGTTTACCTAGCTTAAACTTCACTGACTATGTTGCTGAGGTATGTGTTTGTACTCTCACATGTTGCAGCAGCAGTATATTTCATTGATTTCTGACAGAATTCTAATGTGACTTTTTCCTCCCTTAAAAGGGACAGGTGTACCAATAAAAAGTTCAATACTAATATTTTCATAACACAATTTGAATTTATTTGCACAGGAACTAACATTTTATATATTAACTTACTAAAGTATTTCAGTGGACAAACTCAGATTAAATACATATATAGAAAGTCTGGGTGTTTAAATTCCCGTTGTACATGCACACACAGATACTGAGAGATACCTATATATATATAAAAAAATTTTTCTTGCTAACTGCCATGTGCTCCTAATACTTGGCTAAACTAGCCCACTTAAAACTGCTTCTGCTGTACTGCTTACATAGTTCACATATGGACTATAGTTCTAGAGTCTAGGGTTGTAGATTTAGCTATTTGCATGTTGGGGTTTCTCTGGAATGGCTAATTTCTCTCACTTTTAATGCAGTGATTTGTGACTTTTGTTTCTCATCTTTCCTGTCTGTCTGACTCTTTTGTTTGTGCTTTCCACTTCACAGGCATGCAGTATGGTGGATATGTTAATAATCAAGCTAGCTCTGCACCAGCTCCCTTGTCATCAAGTTCAGATGATGAGGAAGAGGATGAGGAGGATGAGGAAGCAGGTTGGCTTTAGCTTTACACCAGTGTCTTGTTCTCTTCCTACTCAAGTTTTGTTCCATATTTCCATCCCCTGAAACTTTTTTTCCTTTAAGACAAAACATCACTCTGACTCATCATGTATCAAGTTAACTAGGAATTTCCTAGCTGTTATTAGTATAGTAAACAAAAAGGAGTTCAGTAGTGGTCAGGAAATGGTCGTCTTTTTTTTTTTTTGTCTTACTAATATCAGGTGTTTTATGTATTTACCAAAGTAATAATCACAACTTGCAAGACTCCCATATTTTTAATATTTTGGTTTTCAATAGGTTTTAAACTCGTAACTGAAGATAACTAGCTCTAGAACTTGGACTGATAATTGCTTATGTTAAGCAACTAGATGCCACTTGTATTATTACAAATGATACAGTGTACAGTGTTTACCTTGTTTCCCATTTTATGTATAGGGGACTCTTACAACTGAGGTGTTAAAGTAAATGTTGAAGGTAATAAGTGTGCTTTTTAGGACAGTAAATTAATCTCTGCTGCTTTTTTCTCTTTCTAAGGTATGTCTCTGTGGTCAGGCACATAGGTTTGACTGTTGTGATGCAGCTGCTTTTTGAATTATGATTTCTAAAGAGTAGGCTAAAAGAACCAGGAGAGCGTTCTGTGGTTTTTTTAGTGCTGCACTACCTACTGAATTATCTGCAGAAATTATCTTTGCCTAATTCCATCCCAAGGTTTCTGTCAAAGGATATGTCAGAACTCCTTTTTTATCAACTGCAACCTTTGTTTCCTTCCTTTGTTCCCTAATCCTACCAAAGTTTTCATATTCCCTACCATCTTTCTCTCTCAAGTTCTGTACTTTGCTAAAGCCCGTAGCCTTTGAGCTAGCATTGTATTTAAATTTATTTTATGCAAAAGAGTGAAAGGGCACCCAGGTTCAATACATAGGCTACCTGATTAACAAGCTTCCCTTTTTATGCCCTGTCACCAGGGGTTAATGTAAATCCTAAACAGATCCTGGAGACTGGTTTCTAGCTCAGGCTGTGCCAGTGGTTTTATGAAAAACAGGTGTTGGACATCTGGTTGCTTGTGTTTGTGTAGCTTCTCAGTTTTTTTGTCACTCTTACCAGTTAGATCATTAACTATGTTGCAAAAGAGTTCTTGAAAACTCTGAAAGCAAAAGTTACGTTGGTAAAATAATTACTTAACTGTAAATGCATGTTTTAAGTATTACTTTTCTCTAAGCAGTGTTTTCTAATAATTTTTTCTTTATAAAACTTTTTTTTTATGTCTTCCTAATGTGTTCTCTGGTCTGGTGTTTATTACACTGAAGTAAATTTTGACAGCTTAATTGTAGCTTAATTTAAGCATAGGGAGACTGTTGTTAAGTTTTGTGGTAGTTCTTGTGGTTTTTATTGAGGGAGAATCTGAGATTTCCATGACACATGTGACCAGCTTAGAGACCAGCTACTTCTGGTCTGCGGGAAACTGTACAAATGATTAGTTTGGAGTTAAATATTTGTTTGCCAGTGGAAAGTAGAACAGAGCACATCCTAATTCTTGTAGGCATTGGGACTCTGATAGTTATCAAGAATATGTTACAAAATTTGAAAGTTCTTTAGAAGCAAAGTCCTTAAGTGAAAGGTCTTCAGTAGTATATGAGAACTCAGTAATAGGATTCTTTCTTATTTTAACTTAGGCAGACCTTGTTTGTGTGTCACAATGTCTTGGATGATACCTTCTAACTAGAACTTTTCTGTATGTCAGCAATTATGCATAAACTTTTTTTTAGTAGTAGAAATATGACTAAGTTGCATTATTTTTATTTACAGCATGCTTTTAAAATACATTCTTTCGTGTATTTGTCAAATTGGTTTCTCTTACCTTTTCCAGCCGAGTTTGGAAAGCATGTAAAATTTCTTTGCAACTCACTGTATCAATAATATCTTAGTAGTGAAAAGAGCAAGCTCATTTTTGTATGGGATTATAATACAGCTGGATATAATTTTATGAATACAATTTACTGTGAGGAAAAACTCTGTAGAGAGTGACATAGTGGTTAAATCACAAAGCTTGAACTAGTGTATTATATGTTCACAACTGTGTTTATATGCTTTTGGTATTTTGTCGAAATGCAGAACTAACTTCTGGTCAGTCAAGAAAAACTTCTTGAAAGTTCTTAAATTTTGATCTTGTTGACCTAATAAAAGTATATTTTTGGCTTTTCTGTAGCAGGACTTACCAAACTTTTAAAAGCTGTGTTTCTGCTCAGGGAACAAAATAATTAAACCTATAAAATTTGGTAGGAAAAGAAATTTTGCAATTATGTTCTTTTATAAACTTCAGAAAAACAAAGGGAAATTTACAGAAAAAAATCTGAAAACTAACGTTGTAAGAGTTTCACAGTGTTAATATTTAAATTGAAATCTATTGTTGGTGTTACGTTTTTTTCAAATAGTTTTTCTGTTTCTTAGCTGAACGCTTTAAAGGCAAAATGCTCAAAAATAATCTGTACAGTCATGATACTGCCATGGTATTAATGTGTCCCAAGTTTCAGTGATGTTATGTTTTCATATGCAGGAGTCTCTTTACTTGGAAATGTCAATTGAAGGGGGAACAAATCTCAAATGTTCCACCATGGAAGTTCTCCCTTGAAATACTTTCAGCTTCACAATGGGATGTGTGGTCACAGTTGATCTTTCTGAGTACAACAGTATCAGTGAAGGAAGTCAGAACAGAGACTATTTTAAAAATGTTGTACATTGCTTCAGTTGATGTAGTCTAGAAAGAACTCTTAGTTTAATAGAAAAATACTTTCCATTTCAAGAAACAACTTTTTTTCATTGTTTTTGTCCTTTTCTCATCGATCTCTCTTTTGCTGTTTGTTTGGCATGTGCTTGTTTGACTTTTTATACTATGTTGATTGTTTATCTCTTCCTCCCCCTCCTCTTTGCAGTGCTAATAGCTTTTGAGTCTTAGGGCTGAAGTGGTCTTTTTACCCAGGATCTTTCTTGACAGCTTCTTACCAAAGTTTTTATAAAAAATTCTCAGTCTCTTATTTCTCAAAAATTTACTGTTTCTGAAGCACCTAACCTTTAAATTGTTTTCCTCCCCCAGCAATTGATAGTTCCTCTACTACAAGCAGTGCCTCTCCTGTTCTGAACAATTATGATGCCCTGGAAGGAGGTGGCTATCCAGGTAAGCAGTTTATCACATGTTAATTCTGAATTGTTTGTTTAAAGACTTAAATGTTTACTGTTTATGTTTTGTTTTTTTTTCTATTTTTGGTGGTGTTTATTGTTAATTAACAAGTAGATGAAAGGGAATGCCTATGAAAGGAGTGGGGAAAATCATCACTGAGAACGTACCTCACTTGTTTTAATCACTTTTCACAGTTTTAACACTGAAGTTGGTGTAACCATTTAATAAAACTTCCCTGTATCGTCATAGTTTCCATTGTAATATTGAGGGCGGTGATGGAAGTATGCTCTGTGTGAAAGCAGGCATCTTTCTTGAGGCTATACTGTATGCCTGATTGTGTTGACATTAGTAGTTGATAATAGTTGACACACCACTGAAGTCTTGAGAGACCAATGATACCAGTTTGCAGAGATGCTTGGATCGGGTTATTTTCTGCTATCTTTCTTCCTTTAAAGAAAATGGCTGCTATTTTGCTTATTTTTATTTCGAAAAATTTCAGGAGTGTCAGGTCTATTCTAAATGAACCTTCTAGCAGACTACCTCAGTCTTGAAATCTATAGAGCTGTCATATTGAGAGCAGGTGGAAAAGATGCTGTTCAATGTAGGTATGTTAGCCAGTATTTTAAATGCTAATTAGATTAAGGGCGGGGAGGGGCTCCCTCTCTGACTCTTTTACATTGCTCTGGCCCCTAAGAGTGTCACAATAGTTTGCTTGGTTTGATGGGTTCCTGTGTAAAGTGAAATCTCAGTCAAGTAAAAAACCAATATTGCTATCCACATAGGGTCTATCTCATGCAGTAAGGGTTGCAGAGGCATGGCTGCAGGTTTGAGTTCTAATTTCTGAGCTAATAATTAATGATTTTGAGTTCTGCTGAAGGCATATTCTAAAAATAACTTGTTCCTTTTGTTTTCCTTAGAGTAATGGGATCAACTTTAAATTTCTTCAATCGGTTGATTTTTATTTATTTTTTTTTCCCATGCTTCTGGAGTGTTCATGCCAAATGTAGTTTCTTGACAGTTGGTTTCTTGAGTGGTTGGTTTCTTCACCTGCCACTTTCCCTGGTGGATTTTACCAAGCTTAAATTCTTCTGAAATTTAGCTCACATTTGTAGACATTTCTAAAGAGCAGTTTCATCTCTTTACAACTGTTTTGTATGAATTTAGGTCTGTGTTTCAATTTGACCTTTAAAAATAGTGGAACCAAACTGTGCTGCAGGGATATACAGAAGGGACTTGCATTACTTAAAGGAAAGCTCTGTGTCTACATTTAGAAAATAGTTCTTTTGCCTTAGCCTTATGTTTTAAAAGTATTTATAAGTGGTAGAGGAGAGACTAAACATGAGTGGTCTCTTTTGCAGTTTATATCAAGTGCAAATCTTGGAATAAAATGTAGTTCTAAGGGGGTTTTATTTCCTTTTTTTATATTCAGCTGAAATACTTTTAGTTGCTTTTTTTTAATAGCATTTTGTTTAGTAGTTACACAAGTCTCTGATCATCTTCCTATGTATACTCCCTTTATCAGCATAATTGCAGGAATCTTCCGTGCTGATTTATTTCATCGGTGCAGATAAACTTGATGGATAATGCAATAAACTTATAAATGGAAAAAGTGGTGTTTGAGCATTTAGGAGTTTACATTCAAACTAAGAAAGAAATCGTAAGTGTATTCAATACCTGTGGGATTTCTTTTTGTCCTTCCAGAGACACGTTCTGTGACCAGCAGCCCAGTTCCTGCTCCATCAGTCCCCCAAACGTCAAAAGCTTCTAAGCCCTTCGGTTATGGATATCCAACACTGCAGCCTGGCTACCAAAATGCAGCACCACCTACTCCTGTGCAGCCCAGTAATCCAGGACACCATCCTGGGTTTCAGCACTATCCACAGGTTTGTATTTTTCATTTAAAAGTTACTTCATGGGAAAAGTCCTTTCTCCATGATATATTTCTTTTTTTACATATTCTCATATTTTTATTTTTATAATTTCTGAGCCAAAAAAGTATAATATTGATGTCATAGCCCTGGATCTTAACTTCTTTTTAGAAGGCTTTTGAATTAAAATCTTGGGTGTATCTCCAAATAGTTCATAGAATCATAGAATAGTTTGGGTTGGAAGGGACTTTTAAAAGGTCATCTAGTGCAACCCCCCTGCAACGAGCAGGGACATCTTCAACTAGATCAGGTTGCTCAGAGCCCTGTTGTTGAGGTTTAACCCCAACTGGCAACTAAGCACCAAACACCTACTGGCTCACTCCCCTGCCAGTGGCATGGGGAAGAGAATCAGAAGAGTAAAAGTGAGAAAACTTATGAGTTAAGCTAAAGACAGTTTAATACATAAAGCAAAAGCCATCCAAGCAAAGCAAAACAAGGAATTCATTCACCACTTCCCATTGGCAGGCAGGTGTTCAGCCATCTCCAGGAAAGCAGAGCTCCATCACACTTAATGATTACTTAGGAAGACGAAACACCATCACTCTGAACATCCACCATTTCCTTCTTCCCCCAGCTTTATATACTAAGCATGATGTCATATGGTTATCCCTTTGGCCAGTTTGGGTCAGCTGTCCTGGCTGTGTCCCCTCCCATGCATCACCCACCTTCTCGCTGGCCAGCATGAGAAGCTGAACAGTCCTTTTACTGCTGAGCAACAACTAAAAACATCAGTATGTGACCAATGTTATTTTCATCCCAAATCTAAAACATAGCCT